CAGAAGATATACTCAGACATATACATATATTCCTTCCACTTGACAAAACTTGACCAAAGGCAGACCTACCGCTGTCAATTTTTGTCATTTCCCCCAGCCATCACAAGTGACAGCTGTAGGGAAAAGGGCATTGTCTATGAAGGGTCTCCCTCTCTCGTGGCATCCTCCATAGACGTCATTGGTCAATGGGGAATGTGTAAGAGTATAGCGCTGATGAGGGCTCCTGACAGATGAAGCCCTAGGAGCTGAAGAGGGCTGACTGGATGATGGCTGCGAGGGACACATTCAAGTAATTAAAACTCCCCTTTCCCTGCATTCCACAGCCACCACACATCAAGCATGGCAGTCACCATCAGTGGTGTCTGCAAACTATGCAATCAACCCAGAAGGCAATAGAATTGCATTTTTTTTTTAAAGTGAACAATTTCAGAGACATAAAAAATGGGCCTTGATTTAAACTGGTACTATCACTCATCCCCTCTGAAAAAGGAGTATTTCTTAAAGATAGAATAGTGTATACAAATAAACAAGCCGGTGAGCATTCCAGAAATACTCATAGTCGATAAACAAGCCAAAGTCAATCTCAGAAATTCAAGAGAGACTTACTGTATGCACTATACAGGTATCAAGGTGGAAACCATGATAGGGCACTGAATAGGGGTCTAAACAAACATTATATTGGCTTATTTAACTGCTGATTGGTCATCTCTGCAACACCAAAAAGTACGAGAATGAGGTAGCATAGATGTGGCGGGCACCTCAAGACCGGATGTGACATTTTATGAATTCATTATATATAAGGACGCTCCATTTGAGAGGACAGTTTTGCATTCGGCCGGTGCAAACTGAGAGGTGGAGCCGATGGACGGTGTTGAACAGTTATGTATTTCATTTTTCACCTCCACATGTCTGCGAGAAGGCATGCCGCATGGCCAAATGGACCATTCGGCCTGCGTGACCTGTTAATGGAAGCAATTCAACAGCATGTAACAAGTCAATATCATGATATTAGCTCCAGCAAAAAGATCTCCAAAACATGTAACAAATTCACTACCTCTGTCAGATACAAAATGATCCTGTATACAATGTATACGAAATACCTCCCTGGAGAAAACCTCAGCTAATTCTGCCAAGGAAGAGAGTTTTTTTTAAGGGGTATAAAATGTGCCATTTTGGATATAAGATAGCAGTTAACCCGTTGGAAGGGGAAAGTTCAGCAATAAAGTCTATAGATAAGTTACAGTATTGTTCCCCAGGTATAGTTAATGGCTGGAGCAAACTACATGGCACTCTGTATATGAATTTTTTGCACATATATCACAAGCCTGAACATATTCTTTAATATCCGCTTTATGAGATGGCCATCAGAAGTCATGAGATATAAGGGTTGTAGTTTTAGTAATAACAGAGTGTCCAGCAGACTTACTCTTGTGAAATAAAGAGCATCCTTTCTGATTTCTGGTGTGACATATAACTTGTCTTTAGGTTTACTATCAGTGGATTCATGTTGTTTCAATTTGATATGGTCTATCAACCATATCAAATTGCCTGGATAAAGCATCAGCCAGGTCTATATGTACTAAGGTTATTAAACCAGGATAGGAAGAGAGCATATCTAGCCTGATGGGAATTCAAGCTTTTTGCCTCTCCTAGGTATGATAAATTCTTATGATCGGTTAAAACAATAATGGGATCTTTAGAATCCTTTAGGAGATGCCCCCATTATTAAGGGCAACAATAATGTCTAACAGCTCTCTTTTTCCTATATTGTAATTATGTTAGTCTTGCATTTTTGGGGGAATAAATCCACATGGGTGTAATGGTTTTTCAGGAGACTTACGTTGTGATAAAATAGCACCCACTTTGAAAATAAAAGGAAGCATAGGATCTGTATGTCTGCAAACAGGAGCAGAAACAAAAGCCATATTTAGCTTCTCAAATGCTTCTATTGCCTTGGTGAACTATGCAAAGAGATTTGAAAATTTCGTAGTGAGGTTTGTAATAAAGGCTATTACAAAAAAAAAAATCCTTAATGAATCTTCTGTAATATTTTGCAAATCCTATGAACCGTATTGATATCAAACCTTTTGGTAATGGCCACTCTATTACTGCTGACAATTTCTTAGGGTCTATTCTGAATCCAGAAACAGATATTATATAACCCAAGAAATGTACTTTGGATTGGTTGAATAGGCACTTTTCGAATTTACAATCAAGGCCATTAGTTACAAGCGTTTGCACAATACCTTCGAGACGTGTAGGTGATGTGTATGGAGATCAGATGAATAAATGAGTATATCATCTAAATATACTATCACAAATTATTGTCTAAAATCTCAGAGGACATAATTGTAACGGACCGTTTTGCAATAAAGGAGTTAAAACCGTTTAGGCGATCGTCCCCTTTCAGAGATGCAGGCACAGCTACTGCAGAACACCAATCCGCCGAACAGGAAACCATATGAATGCCGTAAACAGCTGAATAGGAAAAACCATACGAATAGGTTTACACTCCTAGCAGTCAAACTGGAACAGCATACAATAAATCCCCCCAAGAATGAGACAAGGCTCCATTTTGAGGGTCAAGCAGGAACAGACAGAGCTGTGGGTTTATTGTTCTTATATACACATTAGAACCACCCACAGGGTTTAGGAACACAACCAATAAACACTCAGACACTACCACACAAAATCCTCCCCTCTGCCTGTGATACAATTACCTTACACAATGGGTAATGCAATTATAACAAGCAGAGAAATAGTATGCATTACATTCACATAAAACTTACATTTTAAGAATCAGCATACTCCAAATACAAACATATGTCATATGTCAATTCATACAAATTGGTCCAATGGTTCAAAAGATAGATCGTAGTCCTTTGTGACCAAAGGAAGCATGGCTTTTCTGCCCAAAACCAGTTCCACAGAGTCTTCTATCCTGGAGATAATTGGGAAGTAATCCAATTATCTCCAAAGACAGAAGCAAAACTCCATTGAACACATGGCAGTAAAAGACAATAAAACACATAAAAACATTCAACATATCCCTAGATAGCTCAGATCTGAGTGCACATTATTACTGAATGGCGCTCAGAGCACACACATACAGTTCAATTGCCATGGAGCCAAAGTCTTTCCCATAGTCTTTCATTATACGAATGGGCTCCATGGCATAGCTATCTGGGATTTCACCGCTCAAACAGGGCAAGCACCAAATGACCCGGCTTTCATGTCTTTGCAGGGCAAAATCCAGCGTTTCAACATGGTACCATAGTCTAAAGGCAGCAGGCGGGCAACCAGGCTTCTCCAATGCAATGTGGCGAGATTGCTCTCGTCACAATCATTAATAAAATATTGGCATAATGCAGGAGCATTACAGAGGCCAAAAGACATGACGGCATACTCGTAATGTCCACTTCTAGTATTGCATGCGGTTTTCCACTCATGTCCCTCTTTAATTCGTACCAAAGTGTATGCTCCCTAACATATAATTTAGCAAAAACAGAAGCTCCTTTTAGCATATTAAACAATTCTGTGATCAAGGGCATGGGGTAGGTCTCCCTTATTGTTATTTTATTTAGCCCTTTACAGTCAATGCAAGGACACCCCTTCTTTCTTTGAAACAAAATGAAACCAGCCCCTGCTGGAGAAGGAGACCTACATATAAAGCCTACTATTTCTGGGGTGATAAAGGATAAACCCTGCCTTTAAGAGGTATTGTGCCAGTGCACACACTCATCCACTAAACAGCAACTTCAAAGCTCACAGATTTTATTCTTTTTTTTTTTGGTTTGTTTTTAAACACCTAATCTAGGCAAAAATAAAGTTTAGTTACAGTATATGATCATACATACAAAAGGCAAAATAAATGATGTGGTGTGCTACAATTACATGTGTGAGGATAACCAATGAGATAATATACATACACTGGTTATCGGTCTCCCAAAATGTACTGGTAGTACTTAACATAGAAACATAGAATGTGACGGCAGATAAGAACCATTCGGCCCATCTAGTCTGCCCAATTTTCTAAATACTTTTATTAGTCCCTAGTCTTATCTTATAGTTAGGATAGCCTTATGCCTATCCCACGCATGCTTAAACTCCTTTACTGTGTTAACCTCTACCACTTCAGCTGGAAGGCTATTCCATGCATCCACTACCCTCTCAGTAAAGTAATACTTCCTGATATTATTTTTAAACCTTTGTCCCTCTAATTTAAGACTATGCCCTCTTGTTGTGGTAGTTTTTCTTCTTTTAAATATAGTCTCCTCCTTTACTGTGTTGATTCCCTTTCTATATTTAAATGTTTCTATCATATCCCCCTGTCTCGTCTTTCCTCCAAGCTATACATGTTAAGATCATTTAATCTTTCATAAGAAATAGGGTATATATTCTCATTTTGTACATAATGATATATTTTTACCCCTATATTTAACCTTATTGTCCTTTTATTTATGTTTTTACTTTGTCCCTATTCTATTTTAAATATAATATTTGTAAACCCCCCTTTTTCCCTTAATATAAGCAGTATATTTCTTTTGTTTGCCTTGGAGGGATTTGAACTTGCGGCCCTCAGGGGTTGGGCATACACCTGATTTTGTCCGCCAACTGGTTGTGCAGGGAAGGGATGGTTCGCCTAGAAAAGTAGTGGCGGCTGGGAACCACGTACTGTGGGACAGCCACCGCCATCAGGTTTTTAAAACTGTCAGTCTCCACCAGACGGAATTACAGCATTTCAAAGGCTATGAATTTTGAAATGCTGGCATTCAGGGCCAGGGATCGCGGGTGGCTAGGGGGGGTACTTCCTCTTTCTCTCCAGGGTTTGGGAGATGCACAGCTGAAAGCTTCCATGGGACAGGTTGGAGATGCTTGGGGGCGGTGGCAGAAATGGCGGCATTGCTGCCACATCCTCTGTTTGCAGGGTGGCAGGTGCCACTGTGACTCCAGAGGTGGAGTAAGAGGCCAAGACAACAGCAGAAGAGGAAGCAGGAGGAGCCTGAGACCTTTCTTGATTTTTGAGGTGCTTACTCCACTGCAGTTTGTGCTTTGCATGTAGATGCCTGGTCATGCAGGTTGTGCTCAGGTTTAGCACGTTTATGCCTCACTTCAGGCTTTGATTGCACAGCGTGCAAACCATTCGTGTCTTGTCAGCACATTGTCTGAATAACTGCCACGCCAGGGAACTCCTTGGAGCTGGCTTTGGTGTGCTCGATCCCTGGGTGGGGTGGGCAGTAGCAAGCGTACCGTCTAGGGGACGGCTGCTCCGCTTTTGCACCCTGCTCCCTCTTATGCTGTGCTGGTGCCTTTGTGCGATCACCGCCTCTTCCTCCAAACTGGACACATCACTTGCATGACCTTCATTCCATGTGGGATGTAAGACCTCATCATCCTCCACGTCATCTTCCACCCACTCCTCAATTCTGCCCTACTTGCCAGTCTGCACACTGCCGAAAGCCACAGCAGTTGGCACCTGTGTTTTGTCATCATCAGAGACGTGCTGCGGTGGTCCTTGCATGTCCACATCCTGACACATAAGTGGTTGTGCATCAGTGCACTCAATCTCTTCCACTTCTGGGGCAGGGCTAGGTGGATGACCCACGTAAACCCCGCCAGCAGAGTCATCAAAAAGCATAAGAGACTGCTGCATGACTTGTGGCTCAGACTGCTTGGCTGATTTGCAAGGGGGTGAGGTGAAAGACAAATGGCCATGGGCTGCAGGTGCCAACTCTGAGCTTTCAGCAGGGCACCGGGTGGGAGACAATGTGCAGGAACTGGAGGCAGTGTCAGCCATTCAATCTACTATCGCCTGTACTTGTTCTGGCCTCACCATTCATAGAGCGGCATTCGGGCCTACCAAATAACGCTGAAGGTACTGTCGCGTACTCGCACCTGAGGAAGGTGTTTCACTTGTGCGTGTAGCTGGCACAGATCGACCATGTCCTTTCCTTGCAACAGGGATTCTACCAATACCAGCAGCACCACGACCAGGGCCACATCCCTTATTTGACGCTCTCCTCATTCTTTGCGTTCACCCACCAAACTAACAGATGTTTTATGTCAGGCGACAATGTAACTGCCAATAGTCAACAAAAAAATTTTTTATATTTTTTTTTTTAGTTTATTGGACTGCAAGAAATGCACCGCAGGCTGCAAATGTACTATTTAGCAACAAAAAAATTTGAATTTTTGAAAGTGCAATGTAACCACAGTATTTGACGCTTCTGTTTGACTCTCAGATATGAACTGCACCCCACTAATGTACTATTTAGCAGATTAGCACCCAGAAAATAAAAATGTTTACAATTGTGCTGTAAGCGCACTATTTGACGCTTCTATTTGACTCTCAGATATGAAGAGCACGCTCAAAATTTACTATTTAGCAGCAAAATAATTAGAATGTTTACAACTGCGCTGCAACCGCAGTATTTGATGCTTCTATTTGACTCTCAGATATGAAGAGCACCCCACTAATGTACTTTTTAGCACTCAAAAAATTTGAAGTTTTAAAACTGCAATGTGACAGCAGTATTTGACGATTCTATTTGACTCTCAGATGTGAAGTGCACCCCACTAATGTACTACCCCACTAATGAACTATTTAGCACCAAAATAAAAATTACTTTTAAAACTCCGATGTAAGCGCAGTATTTGAAGCTTCTATTTGACTCTCAGATATAAAGTGCACCCCACCACACTAATGTACTAGTTTGCAGAATTCTTTTCTAAGCTGTCCCTATCAGCGGCAGCATCCTCTCCCTACACTAATAAGACCGCATGTGCGTGCAGCGCCACACGACTCCAGCTTATATATAGAGTCTGGGTCACATGCTGCACTGGCTAATCGCAGCCATGCCATTAGCAGGCATGGCTGTGATGGCTTTTAAGGGCACACAAGTCAAACGCTTGTTGATTGGCTGCCCTTCAGCCTTTGAAAACGCACCATTAAATCGCCGAACACCGAACTCCAACTCGAACATACAGTGATATGTCCGTGTTCGGGTCCGGGGTCCAAAAAACTTAATGTTCGGTACGAAACCGAACTTTATGCTCCGTATGCGTCCGACTGGTTTCGTCCTCAGTACTTTTTGAAGGAAAAGCTTAGATGTTGATCATACATATATACCATTCTATGTACGAAAATGTAATACGGTTAAAACTAGCATTAGCAATTGTCTAGTAATGTTTTTTTCTCACCATAGTATTTATTGGCATTTATCAAATTCCAACAAAAACAAGTAAAATGGCATTAAGGTTACAGAAAGGAAATGGGTATTGGGGAAAAATAATGATATTCATTCAGTGCATGCATGTGCTGAGTACATTTTTTTAATTATCTAATTTAAGACACCCCCTTGTAGACTGTGAAACCCATCTCTGAATAAGCTCTTTGAAGACTCTGAGGCACTGAGGTCACACTACTCCATTCATGACTCTAACAACACAGTTTACTAAAACAAACAAAGTAAATAAACAAAGAAAGCATGGAGAAAGGAGGAATAAGGAAAGGGAATTTAGGAATAAATGTTGGTTGGAACTTAATTGCAGATTTAGAAATAAAGGAATTCTGTCACTTTAAGAATATTTAAAGTAGGTGTTTTATTGCTTAGGTCTTGATATAACCTTTAGGAGCAATTCCATCTTTAGTATGCAGATCCTTATTTGAATACCTAAGCAATGTCCAATAGAATTATATGCAGAGTATAAACAAGAAGAATATAGCAGGAGTTGCGCAGGATATATTCAGGATGCAATTTAAATACAGGAATATATTGAAGCACAATGAACTGACTTATGTATTGACTAGATTTACTCTTTGAGAGGATTAAACTGAATGACAGCAATTCCCAGTATAACAGAAAGGACATAGCTTGCTTGTGGAGGTTGGTGATTAGAGGGTGTCCTTTCCGTGTTTAAGAAGACTGCAGTTCAGCAATGTCAGTGTGGAGTCAAGAGATGAGAGTAGTCAACGTCTGTTCCGTGTCCAGGGAGTAAAGAGTTCAGAAATGTTGGTTTTGGAGGTTCAGAGGTTCAGTACACAGCTTGGTAACACAGGGAGCTCAGACAGCACTTGGTATCAAAATTAAACAAATTGACTGACCCCTTGAGATTACCTGCCGCTTCCTTTTAACACAGGCGTGGGTGACATCAGAAGCATAGGTGGGGCCTGATCGGTGAACCAGGAAGTGCTGCACAGTGTATCTGCCGATCAGTAATCATGACAATCCAAGCGTTGTGCAGCAACCCAAGACATGGTTGAATAGTAAAAGGTGGAAGCCAATCTAAGTTGAAAGCTGGCAACACCCCTCACCTTCTATAGCAGGAACTCGAGCAGCACCCTACCTGGCAGCGCATCTAAATAATAATCCCACATCATCCAGTGCGAGCACATCATCCAACCCTGTCCCTGAATGATGGATCCCATAAATTCTATAATTTCCTCTGGGAAATTTCCTCTATCACCACTGTTAGCTAGGCGAATTTCCAGGACCTTGCCAAGCAGAGCTGTGGTACGAGATGAAAACACACATCTTGCGGGCATCAGGGCTCATAAAACTAGGAAGCATCCATAATCCAATTCCACCAAATGTTAATAACATTTCTACTTTTGAGGTACATCGCCAACACTTAGCGGATAAAAAACACTTGCCATCGGGAAGGTGGGAGATAAGACATCTTGAGAAACTCAGACTGCATTTCTAAATGGTTAGTAGTACAGTTAGTTACTCATTTGGGGACTGTGAGAGCAGAGTGTCAAATTTGCAGGAAGTCTAGTAATGCATTCTTAGTGAAGATGGTAAATGTTTGCTTTAATGAAGATAATTGGCCGTAATTGGTGACTGAATATATCCGCTTATATATGGACTTTTTTCAACATACCAATTTTATGCTAGTAACTTTTCTCTTGATGCCCTGCATTTCCTAGTTCCATGTTTCCATGTATGCATATTAGTGTTAATTTTGGAATCACTGAAAGATGTACTGGCACCTGTTTCTTGAATACATGATCGACCAATTTAAGAGACAGCTATTCCCTTATGCTCGTCTAGCGTATTTTACATCTATAATCCCTCATTTTAAATGAGGTCATACAAGCTGCTTATTGCTCTCTCGGGGACAAATACAATTTCAAAAACTCCATTTGGTGAAGTATGATTCTTATATATGTAATATTTGATTTATGAATCAATGTTACATTCATTGTGATTATACAAATTTATTTTGCTAATTCGTTATGGTATAAATTATTTTTATTGAAATTAGATTTCAAATGTATTCATATTTGTTTCTAATTTGCTTAATTTGCATAAGTGCAGGAGGTTATGTACATGTCTTGGGACATGTGTATTTAGTATACTGACATGTAAATATTTTGTTTGTAACTATATCAGGTACATATACATCTGATCTGTGGGTTTTATGTCACCTAATTTTTGTGGTCGATTTTTATAACTGAGTATTGTTCTTTTGAACACACACACTTTACTTTATAAATATAATTTATTTTAACTTACATGTACGGCTTTATCATTTATTTCTATTGCTGTTTAATATAGTTTGTTATGTATTCTAGGTTTAAAATGTATTACCGGGGGCGGGGACTGACCGCAGAGCTGAGAGGACGTTAGCCTCAGTAGCTCCTGCAGCAAGCGACAAATAAAGCTGTTTATCACATTCAAACCAGCGATCAATCGGGTCAGTAAAGCCTCCAAAGGTGGGGAGACACCGAGAAGATTAATATGATACCAATCAAGCTACCAGACAAGCAAAATCCACTCGGCAAAGGCCTAAGGCCTACCCACATGGCAGACGCGAGAGGGACGGCCGCCTTCCCGACGCCACACAAAGCTGACAAAGCATACAGGGGTCTCCGTTCCCCCCCCCCTTGGACCGGCGGGGGTTATCCCGGTCCACCTTCACGCAGGGAACACTCACCTCCGAGACGCTCCAGGGTGCAATTTGAACCAAGAGCCACGAGGCCGGGCCAAGATGGCCGACGGCACCGCAGCAGCCGCAGAACGACAGAGGGCAAACGACTGGGCAGAGGCCTTCATGGCAAAATTTGATGCCATCTGCAGGCGGTTCTGGAGGCGGCTGGAGAACAACAGCCAGACCCCAGTGCCGACACTGGCTAACGCGAAAGCCGGGACTATGGAACCCTCTCCCGCCCAGCTGGGACACCTGGCTGCCCTCTCTCCTCCGCGGAAGCAGGGGTCACCCGAGATGGTGAAAATACAGAGTCCCGACTCTGGTACGCCACGAGCACCCCCTGCAAGAGACGTCACTGGCAGGCAAAACAGAGGAGAGCCCCGAGCTGCAAGGCAGAGATCATCACCCGTGTTGAAGCACCGACCACCTGCAGCAGCTCTGAGGGCACACCCGAGTCTACCACACCGAAATGCTGGGAATCAGCAGAGACCTTTGCGACCGGACGGCGCAAGAAACAGAAGGTACAACAAGGGGCGAAATACATCCACTATCCTTCGATCGTGTGGACTTAGCCCTGCAGGCCCTGGGGAGAGGGGTATGCAACCACCAGCCCCACACCCCCAACGCCCTGGCAAGCTACCCAAACAAGAGTTACAGCACCTAAGACTCTCACGTTACCGGGTCGCTGACCCCCCACTCACGGGCATCGGCTGAATGGACTTATGACAAAGTATATAAACTCCCACAGCAGCTACATGCCCCTGGGAGATGCTTAGTTTATATACCGAAAGCCTCCTTAACCACGTCTGTTAGCCAGAACTGTTTTTTGTCTGTCGCTCTATTTGCATAGCCTTACGTTTTCCATTATAATCATAACAATTAAGCATGCCCTCCATAGATGCCCTCAGCTGCATGGTGATCTGCGGGGAATATAACTAGCTTAGACACCAAGGATATAATACTCCCTAACTACCTACTGATTGCCATACCCGGCAGTCTCAATGTATAGCCTGACATCTAAAAAGATCCAGCCACTCCCAAACGAGTATTACCTTTCATGTAATCTATTATATATCAGTTAAGCAATTCCTATGTGTGTTACCCATTTTAACAAGAAACGCCTACACTATGATATTGTTAATGTTGTGAGTTTTCTTTCTAACTGCTTCAACATAATTAATATCACTCTGGTGACACCCATGGGTGCTGTGCCTTTAATCAAAAGACCTACACATTCCCAGTGTGTTAGAGCACCCAGCTAACCTAACTACAGCTACCACTAGCACTGTGTCGCAGCCTGATATGTCTAATATGTCACTCCTGCTATAATTTAAAAATGTGCAATGTTTCTGATGCTACACTATTGTTACTGCATGTTTCCTTTATGTTTGCACCAGCTGTCATGGCAGTGCAAAACTGCTTGTTAACTCAATGCACAAATAAAATAAAGAATTAAAAAAAAAAAAAAAAAATGTATTACCAAAAACCTAACATGCATTTATTTCCTATAGCATGCACATTACCTTAGCAATTAGCAAACAATATGTGGGACGCACTAAGAGAGCTCTCAAAGTTAGGTTACTTTAACATCTGAACAACATAAGAAAGAAACTTATAACCCATTCCGTTTCGGCCCATTGTAATACTCGTCCCTTTTTTTAATTTAAAAGGTTCAAATGTATGGGCATCGAAAGAGTTCTACCTTTCTAACGTGGAGTTGACATGGTTAAAAAATTAGCTCCAAACATTCCATAGACTCCAAACATTAGAACCGAGGGGCTTAAATATTGATATAGATTTGGTTTGTTTTTTGGATTTAGGGATTTATTATGTTTTGATAAATGAGTATGTCTTGTTATTGTTGTTTTTTATGTTTTCCTTTTTATTCTCTACTCTTCCTTGGAAGAATACACATATACACCCCCTATGGGGGTGATTAATTTGGTTGATTTATCCTAATTGGTCTCTATGTCATGGAACATTTTTTATATACAATGTTATATCTCTTTAAGGTCAAACACTGAACATCTTTGGAATAGGGAAGTAGTTTAATTCTTTAGCATTTGATGTATGAATTGTCAAATTTTTAGATATAGGTATGTGTGCTGCTCCAATGAATATGGAGGATCTTCTTTATATAGGGACATAACATAATTAGATAATTTGTTTTAATTTTTTTATATAGTTTTTGCACGTCACTTTAAGATTACTGTTAATTTCACTTTATTATGTTGAGTGAAATTAAATATAATGTACAGTAGAGTACACAAAAGTATGAGTTATGGGGGGCTGGGCCTGACATCCATGCCGGGTAGATGTGTTGGGAATGAGCTCCGGACGTTTAGGCACTAAATTGACAAACTCGACTAAACAACAACATCTAACCCTCTCTCGCTGCACCCAAGCTCAATGCGAGCGACGATACCTTACTTGAAGCTGACACACTCCCGGAGAGTGGACTGATTGATCTGGTGTACCCTGGAGAAGCGGCCGATCTCACGTAGGGGACCACCCAGAAAGCGGCTGAAATCACCTTTCGGAGCCCCGTTCCCCCCCCTTTGGACCGGTGGGGGATATCACGGTCCAGGATGCACCACCACTGATACAAGCATTACCGCATTGTGGCCAATCAAGGCTGAAAATGCAGCAAACCACCAAAGATGGCGGACGCCACGTGCGCAGCACAGCCCAGCACTCAGACCACGCTAGACAAAATCTTCACGGACTTCTGGGCGAAATTAAACAGCCAACTACAAGCACCCACCCTGCAGACGCCGGGCCCTACCTCACTACACGAGCGTCCCCCGAGCACTCTGCCCCTTCCAGCTGCTCTGGCTCCAGGTAGGCGGCCACCACGCAACCACCGTCCTGCCGCAAAAAACATGCGAAACTCGGCGCGATTAACGGTATTCCGGCGAAGGGGCAGTCCAGAAGATGCACCAGAAAAGTGAACACCCACTGTCCGAAGACGCGCTAGCACCCCTGCCTCCCGGCCGAGACCAGCAGCCTTCAGAAGCCGGATAGGGGAACACGCCACTGCCGCAAACCCTCCCCTTCCCACATGGCGAAGGGACAACGCTGCAACATGGAAAGTACTCTGAGGGTAGCCCAGCATGCAACAACTTAGATCTTAGCCTGGACCAGATCCTGATGGACTTATACACAAGGTATTTGAGGCCATGCAAGTGCGGCATAAGATGAAGCCAGGCCTGACAGGGGACTTTCTCACTCATTCTAGGGGATGGCCTCCATGTCCTTAGTCCCAACTACCTGCTAACCCAATTGTTTTTACCTCTCATTTATGTTAAACACATTGTAACACCATCATCTTTTAAGCAGTCAGTTAGCATACTCATATTTCCACATACTTCCTTTATACAGTATAATCTACCAACATGTCAGGCTCTACCTCCCTAAAAGCATGCTGTTACTGTGTTATGTGTAGCACTCTTGTCATATCATAGTATACTTATAAGCACAGCAGGCTAACCCTCATCTGGTGTTACCTACCCCATCGAGTTTAACCTTAGATACAGAGCCTGTTTCTTCTATGCCATACCGTTCTGTTCAAATCACACTGTGTTCCTCTTCTATATATGTGTCCTCTTAAAATGACCATCTTGTACTTAAATATAAAATGTGTGCACTGTTCCCACATACCCCACTGTTATCATTGTTCTGATATATGCAAGTGGACTGCTGTTGGGGTACCACATGCCTGTATGTTACCCTCATATACACTGAAAAAAAAAAGTATGAGTTATGACTCTCATTCTTTGTGGGTGTAGTATTCACAGTAAATATGGCCATTAAATTGGGTCCGTGATATTAATGTTCTTTTCACTATTTGTTCCGCCCATTAATGCTTCTGTAGATTGTAAAGTGAGTGGCCACCAGAGGGAAGTATACTGATACATCCTAGTTTAGCCGAGCTGGAACGCATTTGGAACGCGGAAGTACAGGAACCTACTTCCGGTTCCGGTTTCACACGGACGTCCTAATTTCAACTAGGATAAAGACGCAATGATTGCAGACACCTGAGAAGGTATTACACTCACACCAATTAAACTACAGATGGACAGAAACACCCACGGATCCACCAATGGACACAGGGATTATCCCTATTTAAAGGGACTTTTAGATGTGGGTATTAGGATATGTTTGTTATACAGGTTATTACTGTTATCAATTTTAATGTTGTTTCATCCCTGAGGAAGTTCCATTTGGAGCGAAATGCGCAGGACCGGTTGTTCCTCTATTTTATCCTAAGCTGATACTGCTGAATTTTTTACTTTCATCTATTGGAGTCCTGTGTTACATCTGATACCTTGGAGTGGAGAGTTGGACAAATAGCCCCCCAACAACCTCGGGGGAGGCACCTTTGAGTGCTTTATTCATCTCTTTATTCTTGTGAGTGCACTCATTTGTGGCGCATAATTGATCGTATTTATTGTATTACACTATATTTTGTTTATGTTCTTTTTCTAGATCTGTCTAGCCGTATCCCATATATTTGTTTTTGGTTTTCTATAACTTAGCAATGGTTAACCTGTTTTTTTTTTGTATTTTCACCAGGCAAAAAGAAGCAGGTGTTGAAGGTTAGCAACAGCAGGTAAAGAGTAGTAACAAGGTCGGAAGCCAGTCACAAGGTAGCAGCTATTATCTCTAATTATACTGTATAGACGCTGTTAACAGTAGCATCCATCAACTCCCTGTCACTACTGGTAAATTTTACCAGTTGGGGAACAGCTGTTAAGTAATAATAGGCACTTTAGGGAGTAGCTGATGGTCAGTAAAAAGTGGACACATGGTTTGAAATGAGAGCAATGTATCTCACTGCCAGGGGGCCAATAATATGATCAGTTTGTTCTGTTTTCAGATCCTGGGTTCACAGTCTTACAGTCTTCATGCAGACGTGCATGGTAGTGGTTCATAAAACAAGTTAATATTCTTCAGATCTAAATGCATATGTCGATTCAGTAGAGCTGAAAGTTGTTAGCTAAATTAGAACTGGGACAAAGTAATTCCAGAAATTCTTTTCAGTAGGTAATGTAAGATTGTGGCAGCACCAATCAGTAAAGGATTCCAACAAGGCTATCAGCATACCATGAAGATCCCAAATAAAACTTCAAAGCCATTTACAATACACTAAATGGTATCGTACTTTCATAGGCTGAAAAAAGTCCCCTTATTGGATGCAATGTCCAGTAAATTATAACTTTGCCAGTCTAATTTAACCTTTTCAGCATTAAACCAGAGAGCAGCTCAATATACTGATCAAGCCAAGGGCCTGGAGGTTGGACATTCCAGCAATCATTCATTTGACTGCAGCTTTTAATGTCATAGAGAAAAACAGAGCTGTTTGGAAAGGGTTAAACTCTTTACGTGTTTGTGTATACTTTATCGGGTTTCACAGGTGCCAGTACTTTTTTATTTTCTTTTTTTCACAGTTTTTACTATTTATAGCAGGAAACAACAACAAGTTGTCATTATTTTCAGCATTGATTTTCGAAGAGTCTTGCAGTTGTGCTAGGGAAATAAATTCGCTGGTTGAGCTCAGTTACACTCAGAGGCCAGCATGTTAGTCTTCATGGTCAATATCACGAAACTCTACTATGACTTCCAAACGTAACTAATTTTAGATTTACATTGCTTAATGAATTGATGTGTATTTTTGAGGTATCTCAATTAACTAAACACTGAATTTAGTGGAAATTACCAAATTAACAATCCCTCCAAACCGTATCTGCACTATTTGGTCAGATACCTTCTGTGTTTGGTTTAAAATCAATGCTTTTTTACTGCTGTATCCTATAGAAAGTATAGGATTCCAAAAAATGTACGAGTCATCGAAACTGGGACCAAATGTACACACATTATTGTTTGCTTGCTTTTAACAAAGGAATTATAAAACTCAGTACTATTGGTGCTAGCAGCCCTTGGACAAACAAGCCTTAGGCAGCTTAAGGGTAAACCATTTGGCAGCTGGCCAACACTTGCTATCCTGCTGCCACATTAAAAAGTAAAAAAATAAATAAATGAAACAAGCCTATGGGAGCCAATATGACCTCCATATTACTATAGAGAGGTGTAATACAGTGTGTGAGGACATGTCTGCTATTCGGTAAGTTATTTCTGCTCATTTGCAAACAGGGCCTTATCTCATGCGGAAATTATCAGGGTGACCTATTGCTCAATGCCTCCACCCATGGGCATCAGGTGGGTGGACAGGTTACTGTCCAACCCCATAGCCAACCTGTGACAACCAGTACTATGAAGCCTTATGAGCATGTATATGAGAATATAGTGGGGTATAATGAAAAAAATGTTTTAGGACTGTTTGAATTCTGGAGTCAACATAACATTTCTCCCTGTCTCCACCGTCCTTCACTCTCTTCACCGAGCTAAGCCTTGCAGTGCAGAGCTCAGCTCATTGGCTTATTAGCATGAACAGTACTCATTGAGCTGTAGTGGAGGGGAGCACTGCTTGGTGATCACCTCTCTCCACTATGTTGGACATACTGTATAAAAAAAAATTACTGAGCACAAAACCCACATAATATATAAATATTAGACATGTGCAATTCGTTTGGGTTCGAATTTAGATTCGGACGAATTTCGGCAATTTGGACATTCGGATGCTTCCAAATGTCCGAAGTGCTGAAGTGCCAAATTGCTGAAGTAGTGAATTTCGGAAGTGCTGAACCGAATTGCCGAATTGCTGAATTGCCGAAGTGCCAAGTGGGGTAGGATTAGTGTTAAGGTTAGGGGTAGGATTAGGGCTAGGGTTAGGAGGAGGGTTGGGGTTAGGGGTAGGGTTGGAGTTGGGGATAGGTTAGGGGTAGGGTTAAGATTGGGGTTAGGGGTTAGTTTAGGAGTATGTTAGGGTTAGGAGTAGGGGTAGGGGAAGGGAATTGCCAAAGTCCCGAATTTTGGAAGTACCGAACCGAATTGCCAAATTGCCGAGGTCCCGAAGTTTGGAAGTGCCGAACCGAAGTGCCGAATTGCCATATTCCCGAATTGCCGAAGTCCCGAATTTCAGAAGTGCGGAACCGAACCTCATTTTTTGACCATGCACATCTCTAATAACTATTGCAGCCCAGCTGATGTCTGAGAGATAGTGGTTACTGTCCTGTCCTCTGAGTCCTGGCATTGAGAACAGAATAAGGGAATCGATCTTAAAACTGAGGAATGTGACAGATGCTTCTCTAAATTCTCTAGTTTCCATTCTAAATCTCTAAATCTTCCAAAACTAAACACTTCCTGTAAAGTCATCTAATGTTTACACTTCCTTTCTTGCAAATTCTATGTAAATTAGAATTTCTTATCTCCTGCTCTGTTAATAGCTTTTATTATGACATCACATACACCAGCTGCATTACGTCATCACTGACACTAATAACAGGACCAACCATCTTAGGATAAGGGGGAGGGAGTAGGAAATCATTTTGTAGATCAATTTGTTTACCTCCAGAATCTGCATTGAGAAAGCCCACACTGACAGGGTTTTTTGCTAAAGTGAGACTTTACAGTAAATTTCACATTTAAGATCAAAGTCACTATCACTTTAAATTTCCAATAGTTCTCGCCTTAGTGAATAACCCTGTATATTGACCATACAGTGCTCTTTGTGCCTCTTTTTGACATAAAACAATAAAACAAATATATATATATATATATATATATATACATATATATATATATTTATATTTGTTTTATTTTTGTATGTCAAAAAGAGGCACATATATATATAAAATTTGATTTGCATTTAGTAATTTTTATTGTGCAATAATTTAGAAAGTAATAAAACATACATGTGAGTTGACTAACCAGCGTTGTCAGGGCTATACAGGATTTCAATCTGTTTGTGACTCTCTTGAAAGAAAACGAGTTAAACCTGAGACTAACCTCGGAATTTGGAGGTGGAACTCTAAATTTCCTTGACCTAACTGTCTCAATTACAAACCAAGGAACTATTCAGACCACACTTTACAAAACACCCACGGCTTTCAATAGCCTACTATGTTGGGATAGCTTCCATCCAAGGCCCCTGAGGTGGGGCATACCCATCGGCCAATACCTCAGGGTTCGCAGAAACTGCAGTACTATTGAGGATTTTAAGAATAAAGCAAAAATTCTAAGGCAGTAGTTTAACCCCTTATGGACCAAACTTCTGGAATAAAAGGGAATCATGACATGTCACACATGTCGTGCGTCCTTAAGCGGTTAAAGATAAGGGCTATACCAATAAATGCTTGAAGACAGCATACAAGAGAGCCTTGGGAGACGATGGGAACATGTTACTTGGTAATGATCCACCTTAAACTTCTATAAACCCCCTATGCATGATCGCAGCATATTATGCTGGATGGGACCGAGTCAAGCTAGGCATTTAACATTCTGACCCCCTCTAACAGAGGACGCACATATAAAACATATTCTTGGCCCAAAGGTTAATATAACAAAACGAAGTGGAAAAAAACTAAAAAACCTCTTGGTCCCCAGTCATTTTCAACCCTAGTGACCCAGCACACATATCTGGTTGACTACCCCCCTTGTGGGTTCCTTCAAGTGCGGGCGATGTGTCGTCTGTAAATTCATCAAGCGTGACTCGGAGAAACATTACTTCATTTTTTAATTGTAACACTGCAGTTTTGGTCTATCTCTTAACATTTGAATTCGACTTTAAATATGTAGGTAAAACCTTTCGTCCTTTCAAGAAAGGATAAAGGAACATGTGAGGTCTCCTAAATTAATTATAGAGACCTTCTCACCCGACATTTGAAGGAACACCACTCAGGTGACCCAAAAGGTCTCCGATTCTGTGGGCTGGAACTGGTAAAACGTGATAAAATAATGGGGCGATTACGATAAATTTTTAAGACAACGTGAGAGTTTTTGGATATATCGACTAAAGACCCTCAACCCAAGGGCTTCTCTTTTGCACCATTTAGCGAAACTGTCTCTAACATTCTACTAGCTGGACATATTCATCATTGAATATGGATTTATTATGACATTCCACCCAATATGTTTGGCTTTGGAGCCTATAAGAATTCTTTAGAAAATATAGCTCCTTTAATTTCTAATTAATATACATTCCATCCAATATGTCTGGTTTTGGTGCCTATAAGAATTCTTTAGAAAATATAGCTCCTCTAATATCCTACCTGCTATGTCAGGCAAAAGATCAATTAGTGTTGCTTTAAAACAATTTCTTCAATTTATTTAATCCACTATCCCTCTACTGGGGACTCTCATGAATACTTAAATGATTTTTGGCACAGAAGGAGTTAATTTGTACGCCTCCTCCGTGCTCTAGAACATGCACGCCACTTATAAAAAGCCGCCCGCCCCTGTGGACGCGATTTGCCGATGATGGTGATGTAACCGAAAGGGGCGTGTCTTTACGGCTTTAAAAAGTGGCGCAATCAATCTTAATCCAGCTCTTGAAAAAGGCGCATGTCAATCCTGAAATGCACATTGGGTTAGATCCCACACTTGTGGGTTTTTTATATTAGGACACCTACTACCTCTCTCCTTTTATCTTTCAATTTCATGGGGCTGTGGGAGTCTCTTCACAATTCAGGTAGATGTTTACCATTCTACTCAGACTGCCTCGAAGCAGTTACTAGACAGTTTACTAAAGAGATAGCTTTTCAGATTTAAAATTCCTATTAGACCAGTAATAACTTCTAGTGGCTATTAACAGATTATCAGGTTTTGTTTGGGCTATATTCCTCCACATAACTAACGATATTCTTATTGAATCTGCTTTCTTTTCTATTTGGCAGTATAGTTATGGGACATA